CCAGATCGAACTCGCGACCACCACCACTTATCTTGCAAGCCCCAGCCGGAGACTGTCCCCTCGCCCGTGAATCGACTCTGGACCTGAAGTCTCTCGTCCTCCACTTTTCACCCCCTTCCTCCCAAACGCAACTCGAGTCAGTGGGTGTGGACTTTACTTTCGCACAGTCTCCCCTCTCGTCTCAATGTTTTCCGCAATCGTCTCGGATACTATCCGAACACTCTTGAGATCTGGCCGGCGTGTGCGACGTGAGCCAATTGGGGGGGAACCCGGCTCGGCACTGCGGGGGTTAGTGAGGGATAACGGGCTGGGGCTCCGTGCGTCTCTCGACCCATGTGTAGCCTTTAGATGGAGAGGTTGGGTGACGTTAGCTCCGTTTGCCTGCCAGAAGGTGACCAACTTGAGAACGGCCCGACTCGAAGGATCTGTTGCAAATGAACCGGTCCGGATGCGAGAATGTCGTAAGTTGGCGCTTAGAGAATGGAGGAAGCCGATAGGGGACCAGCCGGAGGCGGCCGTGTGATTTGGTTGGGTGAGATTGTTGTTGAGTTTCGAAGCGTTTCATCCAGGTTGTTTTCGTTGGTAGCATGAGTGTCCTATTATATTTTTTAGCATAAATACTTTGTAAATCCGTAATTTTTTCCTACCGATTTCTTTTTATACGGGATTATTATTCACTTACTCTCTTAAGCGTCTATTAAATAACAAAAATTGATGGAAAATCAGTCCGAGAGAAGAAAAGAAGTTGCTATAACGTACAACTATTACCTGGCGTCAAACAGAATTGCAGTATTTTTCTCAATACTAGTGTAAATCAGTCTCAACAGAAAGTGGCTATGATTTGGTGTGGAGTTTGAGCTGTCCTGTGGAAAGTCTGTATGAAAGGCAACGCGTGAAACATACGCAAAAAGAGCGAAAATGATACGGGTGGAATATTTACACAGTTTGTGTATATTTTGTGTCCTTACTTATGTTTACCGAGAAGTTGCTCTTTATCCACAGGCGTCTACCGAGTGTAGAGGACTTACATGAGCGTATGACTGTAGTGGTTGTGTCTAGGCACAGTAGCCAGAGAACATTAAGTGGCATTTGGGACGTCGACTAATGCTCCGACTGCACGCTCTCCTCCGGGGCTCAGTGCGTGCGGCGGAGAACTTGCATAAACCAAGAGGAGCAGCAATGTTGCGGGGGTAGAGATTGGAGCGAGTCTGATTGAGGTTGGTGCGTGTGGGTGTGTAAATGGTGTTGGGATGCGAGATGATGGTGGGTGAAAAAATATGGTCAAAGCTGGTGTGTGTTCAGTAAGGGAATTTGCGCGGGGGGGAATTGTGTAGTAGCGAGGACTATGGATTGTTGAGGTGGGGGGCACGCTCAGACCGAACCCAACTATCCATTCACCACCACCAGGGTCAAGCTAAGCCCCTCCCCTTCAGACCGACCCCAACTATCCATTCACCACCACCAGGGTCAAGCTAAGCCCCTCCCCTTCAGACCGACCCAACTACCCATTCACCACCACCAGGGTCAAGCTAAGCCCCTCCCCTTCAGACCGAACCCAACTATCCATTCACCACCACCAGGGTCAAGCTAAGCCCCTCCCCTTCAGACCGACCCAAACTATCCATTCACCACCACCAGGGTCTAGACCCCGGGGGGTTTTATCTGATCGGTTCTCCCCTCCCGAATGATACTCCTGCACAACGGGGCCTAATCGCCAAAACTCCATTACATTCATTTGTGTATTCCTGGCAATAAATAAGTATTCTTACATCAAAACCGTCTCTCCTGATTGAAGTATAGTCAGATTAGTTGTGATGTCGAAACCATATTTACCATCATCCGGGAAATATCATTTTTGTTTCCAAATGTAAAGATAATTTTTTACCTAAACCAAAAGCGACACATCTAAAATGGAGTGTTAAAGTACAACAGTAAGTTTCCTACCCATTCTTTGCGCCTGCCGTGAGACGTGAAGTCGTACACGGGCACTTTGATGCTCTTTCCTTTCTTCAGCTTCCTCAGGACGGTGACCAGCAGCTCGAAGTCGAACGCGTCGGGGTGATCGAAGTTATACTCGTTCTTAGCCGCGAGCTCCTGCTCCTCTTTGTTCAACACCTGACACACAAACAAAAGAAACAAGTTAAGCATGCAATGTTCGGGAATAAAGACCTTTCTATTTAATCAATGTTTCAATGGGCTGCAATTCAAATGGCCTTAATGGCACTTTAGATAATAAAACCACAGCATCTCATGGAGGATTTTACATTTTGGAAGCAAATGCTGATGTTTAGATACTATTTTCTTATCGTAGGAACATTACAACTCTTGACTAATTTTCTGCCAGGATACATTTCATTAAAAAACATTAGCAAATCGCAGAGGTTCAGTTAAACAAACACAATAAATATCAGAAAATCCAGGTCATACTGTCTCAAGTCTGCCTTTCTGAGCTTAGACAATACAACGTTTTTAAATGTTTATTATATCTAGCACTTTCCTGTTTTGTAATAACATTATTAAAAGTGTTCGCTGGGAAATCAAAGCATTCGTATTTTGTGATGTTTAAGACATTTTACATTTCCAGAATGGGCTAACATTTTTTTTACTAAAATGTCCTCTCCACTCTCCCTCCATCTGTCCCATTGTTTTTCACCCATGTATTCATTGCATCAATTCAATGAAAGTATCTTCAAAAGAAAGAAATGTGTATCTGTTCATCTGCTAAATTAAATTCAATGAAGGTGTAATGGACCAGAACACAGGGTACTTCCTTCTGAATGAAGTGCAGTACCTCCACCTGCTTTAATGCAATATATATCTTTATAGTATTGCATTTTAAACATATAAACAATGCATTTACCCATCTTTAATAGAACGCAACAGTTCTCTATTATTTGTAATTAAAGGGACATGTATCATTGACATACAGTAATGATCCTCTATTAAAGGTGACATGTCATGCTTTTCCGGTTATTACCCGTCCCCTTGTGTGTTATGAAGGTTTTCCTGCATGTGAACGGTCTGCAGAGTCAAAACCCTCAAAGTACACCCTGTAGGGAGTAAAACTCTAACACAGAAAAGACCTCCCCAAAACGCCTCGTTGGTGAAACGTCATCATGACGTGCTTACGAAAGCACGTACCCGGAACTAAATGGGCCAATCCGTGGAGCAGTTACGTTAAGCCCGTGCTGATTGGTCCAAATTGACCAATCCACACACACACTCAGAGCAGGCAGCTCTGCTGATCAGCAGAGCTGCCTGCTCTGAGTGTGTGTGTGGATTGGTCAATTTGGACCAATCAGCACGGGCTTAACGTAACTGCTCCACGGATTGGCCCATTTAGTTCCNCGTGTGCCTTGGTCGAGTCTCAGAGTGTGTGTGTGTGTGTGTGTGTGTGTGTGTGTGTGTGTGTGTGTGTGTGTGTGGGTTTGATGTGATTTGCTTGGCACTGATTGAAAAATGATGCATGGAGGCATGCTCACCTTGTTATGTACGGTGCATAGAGGGTTGATTTAAAGAGTGTTTCTTGGATATGCAGAGATGATTGAGTGACCCCACATGGGATCTTTAAGTGTGACAGTATAATGAAACACAACCAACACCCATATGGCAACAGCATAAACAGCATGGTTAGTTGTATCTTCATAAATGTGCTGAAACCGCCTACAGGCTTTCATTATTCACTAAGTCTTTGTTATTTAAAGAGATCACTCTTTGGTCTTTAGCTGTCAATGCACTTCCATAAGAATACCCTGGAATATCTCCTTTATCAACTCCAGTTAACGTTAATACGTAAAATAGTTGCTCGCTGTAAAGACCCTCTTAGTATTTGATTTCAATTTAAACCACATATTTGAAATATACTGCATTTCTTGCAAATATTTTTGTCAATCCAAATCATAATAAACATTGTTTCACAACAACAGAATAATAAATATGAGACAAGAAAGCCAGTCTCAAACAGGCGCTGTGGTTTAAAGTGCCTGTCTAGTAAACAGAAGGTCATGGGATCAAATCTCAGCAGAGCTTAACTTTTACAAAAAAAGGATACCATGATTCTAAGTAAAAAATAATAAAAACAATGTAACCTTCAAGTGAACATCAACATTACGCTATTAAATGTCTCTTATTTAGTCAGTTTACCAATAAATGTTCGCACAGACATTGTTTTAAACAGTTTAAAAACCAGGTGCAACCATGACACACACTGTTGGACCTGGTCAGATAGTGCAGGTGGTTAGTCAGGGCCGATTGAGACCCGCTGTTGGAGGGCTTGATGACCCACCCCCCTCCCCACTTGTTGGTTTAGAACAGCACTTAATGTGGCAGACCGTAGTTGTTCACACTCACCTGCAGTCCACAGGTATTGATCCACAGATATATTTGTATCAAATACCATTTTATGCAATAGATGCATAACGTGTTAAGCTACACATCTATCACTGTGCATATCACCATTCAAACATGTATTAAAAACATGGTAGATGAAAAATATGAAAGAAAACATGTTCTATCATCGAGACTTCTAGATAATCTGAACAGTTATAATCATGGCTGACACTGAGGTACTTCCAGGTAATTTCATCCATCTAACCCTCCAGCCACCATCTACCCTCTAAAGCAGGGGTATTCAACTAAAATTCAACGAGCTCCAGTTAGAGAAAATCTTCCCATGCAAAGGTCCGGAGCTTCAAAATGTCTAACTTGCTTTATGAATTAGTGTGATATATATTGAAGTACCCTGTAGCTTTATCAACGTCTGCATGTAATCAACAACTGACTGACTGACTGCCAATCAAATAAAGAAAGTACAATTCATAAACAACAATATTTATTGTAAATGAACATTGAACTATACAGATATACAGTAAATACTGTGCATATGTGTAATGTTCCTCTCGGGCTGCATTTAAAAATAAAATAGAGGAAATAAATAAAATAGCTTTTGAAAATGTGTGCATCTTTAAAGTGCTTAATTTTAGATAAATAAAATAAAGTGTAGCAGCAGCTTGAGTTCCATTTTTTCTTTGTTAACCGTTTCACATCATGACTTAACTGTTTCAGACGATTATAGAACAATATCAGTCTTTACACATCCTAACAATTGAACAGTTTTAAAGTTTCTCTTTCTTTCCCTCTTATATTGCAGTCCCTCACTCACTTTGTTCTGTTCAGTGCGAGAATTGAGCTTGTCCTGCCAGGAGTTTAAATCTGGGCTGAAATGGTGTCAGGGCCATTCTCATACACACATGCAGGTGCTCCTTGGTTAGCCTCGGTTAGCCTGCGCTGGAACGATATTTATTTTTTGTGACCTCAGTTCTGACTTGAGAGGGAATGTTTGGTTAGACAATTGGTGTTTTGTCTCATAGTGGTGTTTTGGCACTTTTAATGAGCGCAACGGTCTCTGTACAAATGAGACACACTGGTTTTGTGCTCCCAGTGGGCAGGATGAATATGAATGAGTCCGTCCACTCAGGATTAAAAGCTCTGTTCTCACTGTCCACTTTCCTCTTCTTGGAGAGTGCCATGTGTACTTATTTGTCTCTCCCTTTCTGCCGCTAACACGCCTGTTCACTCTCCTCCCTGTATCGCTAATTATTCTCTTCACTCACTTTCCTCTCCGCTTCTCTCTGCCGCGCTCTCATCTCTTCTTCTGTGTTTCTCTCCCTGTATCACTCACTCGTCTCTTTCGCCCACTGTCGGCACCGGTTAAAATAGGATCGCCCCGTCAAAATTGAAATCCCCTGTTAATGTATTGATTATAGGTCCGGGTCCGTATAGCAGTAGTCGGCATCTGGGTTCCGGATCCGGCCGCTGGCCCGGCCTGTTGGCCGACCCCTGCTCTAAAGGATCACCACCAGCAGGCTGGATTCCTTTCCCAGCTAGATACCTATCGTTATTCCATGCTTCCAGAACACCCAACATTCCTTTTATTTGTCATCCATGTTTGGAGTCACTGTTTTTATTTTTTTTTTCTTTTTATATATTTATATATGATTGGGTCCATCTTTGTTGTGATTACTGGAAAAGTTAGAATTCAAAGCAGCTAACTAGTCTTGTGGCATGATTCAGGCATGGATTACCACGGGAAGTGATGTGTTTGTGTGACAATCTGAGGTTCCTGATTTACCGGGCTCACAGCTTATGTGGTATTGTCAAAGATACTCACATGCATACACAATCAATGCGAAGGATAAAAAACGGGTCAAACAGTTCCCTAACCCCTCCCCTCGGTCTACTTTGACCTTTTCCTCTACACCAGTGCCCTAGTACTTACACGACACGTGGGGGAGTCAAAGTATTTGGTGTTCATAGCCCCTAAGTCGTGTTTTTCAGGTTTTCTGGCCGCTCGAAAGGACTATTCCCAGAACAAATGACTTATATCTTCACTTCTAAAATGCGGGTCAATTAATAATCTTTTTTCTCAAAGCAATGCATAAACCTGTGAGTTGGACGCCTAGAAAAAGTCAGAATCAAATGTAATAGATGTTTTCATTTTAAAGTCAAATTCACGATTGAACATTTAGTAAAACAATTTAAATTATCAGTTTCCCCGTTCCAAAAAAACCAATATCTGTCTTAGGTGAAAACCACCCTCGAATGATGGGATAGTAGACTAAAAGCTTAGTAATCCACACAATAACATTATAATAAGTACCCGTATCAAAGTATTTGATTGCGAAAGCGAAGGTTAAAATTTGGACCCTTTTGTAGAGAGGTTTAAAAAAACGAAACACCTTCTTGGGGTCATTTAAGTGCCTATGTTTCCATATCGCCTGGAACCCACTCGGTCAATTTTGCGTGATTGACACCACTTTGTGAACCATTACGAGCCGAATAGAATCGAGGAGCGCGAGTCCTAAATCGCATCTAAACATTACCATTTGCGTTGAAGAGAGTGAATTTTATGCCCGCAGTGCTGGGACGACCCCCTGCTTCACTGCCCTGCGAATGCTGGGTGCTGGCTGTGTGCCTGGTGTGGGTGTGGTGTGCTTCTCTCTCCCTGATTGCTCCAGGTGCCAGCCTCTTCCAGGGTGCTCCCCAATTCTGATCAGCGCCTCTATAAAGCGATCTAAGTAGGCCTGCAGTGGGGGCCTCCTCTCTCTTCTGGCCCG